ATATATATATATATATATATATATATATATATATATATATATATATATATATATATATATATATATAATTTTTTAGAAAAGAATAGCTTTAACCCCGTAACTATCATCAGAAGTTGTATGTTGCCAATTCAAGTCATGTCATCAGGCGATTCTTCAACCTATTTTGACCTCGCTAGTCAACTGTAAAATATCTCAAAATCGTTAGCAAAATCAATAGATCTCACTGCCCGAATTCCTGAACCGTCTGCTGCCAATCGTTCTTCTTCCATCAACTATGTACCCCCATTCCTGCACAGTTGGAATTTGGAAGGAATGAGTCACCACATCGTGAGATTATCGTTAGCCGTCAGTTATAGACTGCATTCATTCCTCATATTTTTCTTTGTTATCGGTTCGAGGTATTGGTTGTGATTATAGCACTCGTTACGGTTCAGCTAAATGTACCATAAACAATAGGCAAGCATGCTTTTTTGAGGCACTTTGCTTGATCTTACCTCATCCAGTCAAGATCCTCTGTTTCTACTCCCGAGTCTCAAGAAATTTCAGCTCTATCCCAATACAATTTCTAACTATATACAAATATATTGTAAAAGCATGAGAATGCCTTGGTTGGGGAGTGGAAAATCTTAAAGTACATAGTTGAGTTATAACTATTAGCCGAATGAGTCATAACTATTGGTTTGAATTAGTGCTGAACGAGGTGAACTAGTGTTTGTGAAAACTTTGGATAAATTTTAGAATTTGAATTGACAAAAGAAGTTATTATACGATCATCCCACTATTCATTTACCTTTGAGATCATTGATTTTTATTATATATATTATTCCAATCAAAATATATATATATATATACTCAATCACTCACACCATTATCTATATGTGCATCAATATATCACATCTCTATACATCGCGATCATCCGTATTGTCCTCAGGGATCCCATTATTGAAAGTTCCTAGGTCCCAATGATAATAATAATTATAATTATTAACAGAAATAATATACATAAAATTCGTATGAACAAATATATTACTTTCAAACCTTTAAAAGGATAGACACATAAAACCATGCTTGATTCCACAAAAATAGTATGTAAAATTATTAGGCATCACAGTAATTAATGCATTATCTATTTGCTTCCTAGTCTTTTTAGTTTTTCATGCATTAAACTGCGGCATAAGCATTATCCTGTGTATATGCACCGTTTTGTTGCCTGTGCAATAAGATGCAACTTCACAATGGATGGTTAAGAGACACCTTCTTCCAAATTAAAACTAGAGGCGGTGCTTTCAAACGTTCAATACAGTGCCAAATTTGTGTACAGTAAATTGTTTGCACTATCGTAGCAAAATGCAACACAATCTGTACTGCAGCTTCCATGTAAAAGCAAGTCTTACAGCCCTGCCTCTCCCTGATCCAATTAAGCTCGACTCTGCTATTCCTTGAGCATGCTTCACAAGAAAGAACAGATTGTTAAAATAGTTGGTCTTTATTCTCATCTGATTTCCGTATGGTCTTCCCACTAGGCAGCTTCAAAAGGATTGGCTAGCCTGAGAAATTGAGATTCTGATATAAAGTCACATCGTGAAACTCTTTCATCTGTACTTCAGCTTCTTTGTGTTGTTTCATCTCAAATTTTGAAGTGCTTGTATCCGTACTCTGCGCTCATCATGCCCTCTTCCCAGTCGCCCATACGTCGCCCACCGAATACCACTTGTTGGATACCCAAGTATCTGCCCACGAGACAGAACCAAGATGAACAACTGATGAGCATGAATGGAACATAAAAATTAACCGAAATTGCTAAGTGCAGATCAGGAGTTAAATTATACTATCGTCATATCTTGTGATCAATTTAGTTTCACTGTCTTTTATGATCTAATGTTAACTCAATCTCGTACAACCATAAGAGTGGGGGTAGATACACAATTTTTTGTAATTTTTCTCGCTGCTTATGCCACTGTTCTGAAACTTTGGTTTTGTCAGAAGATTAGGAACTGATTAATCAACAAGGAAATCTTGGGTGTCTCCATTTCCAAATGAGAAAAGCTGTTAATCAAACCGGCAGGTAAATATTAAGATGTAAAAGGATTTTCTTAGGCTTACAATCAAATAATTGATGAGAATAACTGTAACTTTAAGCATTAAACTGAAATAGCACAGTAAGTAGAAACATCTTTTTAAAGAGAGCCTTACTCTGAGCTCAATACAGTAAGGCAATTAAGCAATACATCCACAGCAAAGAAATCAGAAGTTCCAAGATCAACCCTGCAATGAAAATAACAAGGTAACTGAAAGCAGGCTACAAACGGAAGATATCCTTTGATAGTGGCAATACTTTGCAGGAAATTCCTTACCAAACCCTGCCCCAGTTGTCCTGAAATTCAACATCACCAATATCATGGAAGGATGAAGACATTGATTGAACAGCTTTATCAGAGTCGTACAATGGATTGTAGTCCATGGATGAGTTGGCCAACTGAAGTAGACAAATTAGAGAGAGTTACAGCCAAACAAGAAAACAACACAAAAAATGTAAAGGAAGATTGCAATATTCTCATTATTGTCTTCTGGCTCCTGTGTCTCTAGGAAAGCTGCATTGGACAACCAACATGCTGCAGACTTTAAACATTCCCATGTGAATTATTTGTCCTATTTAGATTACTCCTATGTGAAAATGGAGCTTCTCATGGTAGTCATTTCTGGTTTCTTACAAGCCTAATGCATCTTGAATAACATTCCATAATTTTATTTAAACAGTGCTGATTACCAAGTATAGTGGCAGCATATTCAAATCAAAGAAGAAGATATGAGTAGCATACAAGATTTTGTATTTTATTTGGCTAAATAATTCTTGGCATAATTGTCAACAACAATTCTCTACCCAAAAATACTCTGTTTTGCATCAAATCTTATTTACTCTATTTTAGAGGAAAATTGCTTGTCCCTAGTATTTTCAAACTTGTGCCAGACCCAATTCTAAATTCTGAACTATTTCCCCTTAATTATAAACTACGACAAACATGTCACCATGTTACCAAGTTACCTGGGACATACTAACACTCAAGTCCATAATGGTAAAAGCAGTTACAGATTTGCTTATAGACACTTTTCATTGTCTGAGATGCATAATACTACCGGAGATATCTAGTTTCCCATGATTAGCTTGATAAATGCACTGGTCCTTCCTCAGCTTTGCTCTTCCTATGTCTTAAATAATGGTGGCACAAGGTAAGCTCCAGTTGCTTCAACTTGAAAGATAATACTTATGTTCCATCTATATATGGTCCATCAGAAATCCTATATCTGATTTCATTCCAGTAGGATAGACAAACTGATCAAAATAATTTGTCCGAGAACTTCTCAAAAATTACAAATTACATAACCTAAGAACTTATGGAAACTGCATCATGTCACATGTTCGATTTGAGCTACCTGTAAATTTGAAGAGTCAAAAGCTCCCAAACGCCCCATAACATACCATGACTGAATAACCTGAATCAGAAATAAATGAATGCATAGCACCATCTCACAGGTAAAGGACGAAGAAAAATGCTAAACTGCTAGAACAATCAACTTACACTACCAAGAAGGTCAACATCACGATCTGATGGAGCACCATAAAGTTCAAACCATATGAATGAGTCTAAAGGATTAAAACTGCATAGAATAGAAAGAGAAGCACTCAGTAGAGCCAAACAGAAAGATGTCTATTAAAGACAAAAAGAAATCAAGTAAAGAGCTCTAGTAATAGAGACAAAAAGTAATCAAGTAGAGAGCTCACTCAAAATATACAGACAGAAATCAAGAATCAGTAGATCACTAATATACTTGTGCACAATAAAAATGGTGTCACCATCAGCTATCATCTACTTTAGTTTTGTGTTGCCATTGTGTTTATATCTTGTTATCTTTAGTGGTCTCTGATTGCTATCTAATTCCAACAATATGGTCATATAAAATTTCTCTTGGGTTAGATTGTTAACGGTGTGGCCTTATCCTACCTTACTGTACTGTGACACTAGCTCAATATGGGCAATAGGAAGGTCAAGCACTCCCAAAATGATAAGTAATACAATGATAGCACATTTGAAAAGGGGGAATGATTACCTTTCTTTTTACTACCTATTCTTTTTTTTTTACATGATATATAAATGAAAATGGTGATTGTTTCCTTTCCAATGTAATCATGATTGCACATACATATTCTTAAAAGAGCAGAAGTCCTGCACAATATCTAGAATATACAATACATGCCTATTGTGCCTGATACACAGGAGTGAAGACAATAGTGCTTATACTTCCATTAGCTATTTAAGTTTTGCAATTATAAAAACAGTGAAAATAATGTCTAGTTATTAGTTAGTAATTATAGATTATAAGCCCTCATATCCATATATAACCATTTACATTTTCTTTCTACTTTGTTATACAATAAGTACACAGATGTTTGTTATATTAAGCAAGACAGAGAAGTTATCCACAATTCTTATTTCTTAATAATAGTTAGTCCAAACAGCAAAGAAATTCACATGGAAACCATCATCAAACGCATGCCACTCATTTTCTACTGAAGTTCTACCAACTATTTATCTGGTCAACAAAAAAATCATAGAATGACAGAAAAGAAACAGAAGAGAAAATAATATATTCATGTTTCTCACTCTCTAAAGCTAACTTTGAAAGCAAGAACAGATCCTGTCTTCGACTTGCGAAAGTCTCTACCTTTTGTCCGAACTCTTTCCTCAACCTGTTAAGTACAGAGATAAGGTCTGTCAGGTACAGCCAGCATTGTTCTCCTTCATAAGCATGCAATGTAGATATTGTATGGCATACCCTCTTTCTCATCAACTCTGGGTTCCCAATGCTATCCCCAAGAACTGCACGAAGTTCAGCATCATCTTTGCATGCATTCTCTAATATCCTTAACACAGAGGAAAACACAGTGACAAGGTAGTATTGATGCACCATCTTGAAAATAATTAATCGCTAATTTAAATATTTCAGGTGTGGAAAACTATCATGTAAAGAATTTATTTTCTTTTTTTTTTCTTAATAGCAGTAAAGAAAGAAGAATTAATATGATTGCATTGGCAAAGCATGTCAACTATGCAGAAGACACCAGAAATAAAATTACAATTACAGGTAAGCAGAAGAAGAAAGTACCGTAGGTGAACGTCCAATAAACAGTCAAACAGACATTATGTCAAACAAACTTTGCGCATCAAAAGTTTCAATTTTAGCCAGCTATCAGACAAAACCATTCATGCTTATAGCAAAAAAGGTATAATTCCTTCTCCAATTCGTTAAAGGAAAAGAAGTTAAAATAATTAAACGTCAAGAGAAGGAAAAAGTTACAGACTTGGCCCAGGAGGGGTAGTTGAGGATGCGGTCGTACTCCCTCTTGCGCTTCTCCTCCCTCACTTTAAGCAGCCGCCTCCCTCGTGCTGACGTCCCCGACCCCTTCGCCGCTCCGGGAGAACGCCCATCCCCTTCTCCTTCCTTTTCTTCATCATCATCTTCTCCTCTCGAAACGGCAGCACGGGTCGCAATACATGTCCTGCTGCTGCCGCGGTTTTGGGCGCAGTGGGAGAGCACATGCCGGCTGTTACATGATCGGAGACAATTTCTTGAAAGAGCATAAGGAAGAGGAGGCGACCGAGAGAAAGCTGGGAATGGAGAAGGGAGAAAACCGCCAGCCAGCATTGTTTCGTTCTCCCGATCCTGCGTGCCCGATGAACCACACGAGAAAGAGGCGAAAGGGAACTCCGGCATATGTTAACCCGCTTGAAACTGAGAGATCCGGAGACCGAATTCAATCCGACCCGGAAGATGGACCCGAAATCCGAATTAACATTTTTGAAACGAACGCATAAATTCTGTATCCATTCCGTGCAAAACGGATTCCGACGATTGAATCCGACCCGGAAGAATGTGCATCCGATGCTTTATCGGAATTCTCAATTTCCTTCACTCCGCACTCGTCTCCCCCCACCTCGCGGCCTTATTCCGATGCCGATGGTTTCTTCGTCTGCTTCCCCTCTTCTCCTCTCCCTCCCCTCTCCAAACCGTGAGCCGATCCAAAGGACTCCATCCTCCCTATCCGCCGCAGCCACGGTAGCGCATACCGACCGCAAACCCGGCCTTCCCTCCGATGACAATGGCCCGCATCGCGACAACCCCGCTTCGGCTTCATCTCCAAAGCCATCAGGGAAGATGCTGATCGTGGCTGACGAACGGCGCTATGTGAGGTACCTGGAAGGCATCACGGCCCCGTTTCGTGGCAAGAACCAACTCCATGCTGCAGTGGTGGAGCTGTGGTGTCACGAGGTGGCCGAGATCATCCACGGTGCACAATCGTTATGCTGGGGATGAGGAGGGCAAGGGCAGGATCTACAATTTTATCGCAAAGACGGTGATTTTCCAAGGCAAAAGGTGGAACATTTCATGGACACGGGTGGAACTGGGTCGCGACAACATGGATATACCCCAGTGTGATTCTGAGGGGAGACGACTCCGTGAGTTTTACTCGGTGACGCTGAAGAAAGATCTTCAGCAAGCGGACACCAGAACAAAGGAATGCGTACCGGGGGGCTTGTCGAGGTCCGGCCTGATGCAGACGCATCCCTACATGGAGGTAAGCTGTTCGCTAAAAGGTACCAAATAATGGATGATCATGTCTAGCTGATATTAATTGTGACCTTCTTTACCTCAAAGGAAGTAATGAGATAAGTTCTCTACTTGTTCTGCAACTCCAAACTATTTAGATTCTTTCGAATGATTGAAGTTACTAGTCTCACTTTGAACTCCCAAGTAATTAGGTGATACCTTAAATCTCTACATGCATGCATGTGATACAGTTATAGTATGTGATAAATGCAAGGAATCTAAAATCACGTTTGAAGATTGGTATAAAGGTTTGGTTTTGGGTGGTTGTTACCGTGGAATTGGCAATACAAGTGAAAAAACTACTAACCTGTGCATAACACTGAACCTGTCAGCGTCATATTTGCTTGACAAGCTTGTTAACTACTTGATGAACTATGGATACAAGTGATGCTTTATGGATTATTAGACTAGTGACCCTTTCTTTTAGATTAAAAGAAGAATTCTACAAGTCCTAAGCGTTGGATAGTTAAGAAATAATATAAACAAAAAAATTGTATAACTGAGATGAGAATGCTGTGGTAGATTGATTAGTGGGTTACTAAGGATAGATAAAAATAAAAAATATTTACATTCGTAATAGCTTTAATAGAGAATCAATTGAGAAAGAATAGAATGGTATCGACATGTGTTAAAGAGACCTATCAATGTTTTTTTTTTTTTGTTGCAAAGGGTAAGTGGCGAAGACGAGATCTGAGTCGAGGACCTTGCGATGTACTGCCAAAGTATTTACCAACTAAACTAGCTGATATCTTCATATTCATATATATATATATATATATATATATATATATATATATATATATATATATATATATATATATATATATGTATCGGATGAGGTTTCGAACCCTCAATCATATGATTTATCAAAAATATATAAGAGACCTATCAATGTTGGCGTTAAAATATATAAAACAATTACAATTAGTGAAACGAAAAGAGATAGCAGAAGACCTAAAAAAATCCTATTGAAAATCATAAATAAAGATTTAAATATTACTATTTGAAGTAAGAGATGATTTTTTACGATTCTCAAGTGCGCCAAAAGATCTCAAATAGTTCTATTGTGATTGTTTTAGTAACTTGTTGCAGTAACTCTTTGCAGGAGCAGTAAAGATGTGAGATCCTCAAGTTGCTTACCGATGATGATTTAACTAATCGCATGCTACTGTCGAGACATGCAGTTTCTCTTGTATCGCATCTTGTTGAATTGGTAAGAAGGATGAGCTTCTTAATGGAGGTACCTATTGGCTTCTAAAGGGAGCAGAGAATACCATAGAGCAGATCATTCTACAAAAGTAGTAGGTGACTCATTTTAATCCAACCGTGATGTATTTGAGCTTAAACCATGAGTCCCAACAGCAGTTAAGCTATTTGTAAACAGAGATATCTGCCCAAGTTTATACTATGGTTTTATCTCCTGATATAGATTTGAGCATGGGATTGTTATTAGCTGGAGATGCTTAGTCAGTGATATCTTTTATGAGCAAAACAATGTTAGTAGAGGTTTTAATTAGATTTTGCTTGTTGAGATCATGACCATATGTGTCTTTTCGTTAAGTTGATAGAGTTGTATTTTAAACTATGGTTTTCCCACATATAACTTTGGTATATTCAGTAGCACATCAAACTATGGTCTATTGGAAGTCGCAGCCCAATGGACCGCTTCACAAAACAGTTTGAATATTTTTTTTCCGAATGTTGTGCTGCTGCTGAAATTATCTTTTTTGTGTTTTGGCATATTAAAAAAATTGATTTTTTTTTATCAGTCAATAAATTAGTTGATTATTTTTTTCTTAGAATAATGTAACTTTGTTGGATCCTTAACCTTTTACTCAGAAGAATCATCTTCAAGAGCGACACGCCCGTTCGACCCCGCCGGCCTTCTATCGCGCTTTAGACTGCGCTTTCCTCCGCCCAATGGCTCGGGAAACGTTTCTCCAGTCACCGAATGCACCCGAGAGCAGCGTTTGGGTAATCCACCGGCACAAAATTCTGACGCGTCTCAGCCTCCTCTACCAAAGGTCCCACGTGTCAGCTTTCCATCCATGCGAGTTGACACCGCTACGTGGCTCCGAAGTAGCGAATCCGAGATTGCTACTCCCAACTTCAACCCCGCCTCTCTTCCCAACCCACCCCCCATCGCTTTAAACTTCGTGCACATTGGCATTAATGGCCGCGGGCACGAAAAAGAACGGCCCGCGGCCGACGTTTCGCCTCCCACCGCGATCTCGAACTCCTCCCGCCAATCCCTCTCCTCCTTTAAACCGAGATAATGGTCTCCATCACCTACGTCTGCGCCGAGGTTCGGATCGACTCCGCCGCTAGTCTGCACGCATGCATTCTCCTATGCTTTCTGGGCATCAGGACTGTGAAGCTCAGCTGAGAATGGGCGCGAGTAGGTCCGGCCACTCGGCTGAGGAGTGCTGCAGTGGCGTTGTGCAGAACGGCGGCGGTAGAGATGCACTACCAAGACCCCCGGCAGGTTCAGCATTGAGTTCTTGGGGCAATGAGAGAAAGGTAAATGGAAATGTAGGGGGCTGTGACAAGGAGAGCGATGCTGCAGGGTTTCTGTTTCCTGGTTTCCGGTTGAATTCAGGTTAGCTTTTAAGTAGGCCGCTAATGACCCATTAGTTATATGAGTATGACTAAGCATAAAAAATGATTGCAAGTGTCCTCAGTTGGAGTTCGCCTTTTAACAAAGAGTATAAATCATATTCATAAACAATATTTTAGGGTGAGTATTAAGAATATCAATCAGATACCATAAAGATTTTGATTGCATGATCAATAATCCACAGGCTCGAGTTATTAGACCGAGACTAAGTTTTAGCATCCCTCTTAATTGCAAATTGTTAACATGTGAACCAGATTTAGAACATTTATTGCATAGATCTTTTTGATTAAACACATGCATGATCGAAACTCATGGCTTGGTGTGATACCCTCATAAGGAATTTAATTTGGTTATAAAAAAAATCTAAAAAAATTAAGCAATTAGAAAAAGAAAGCCTCAACATAGATCATGTCTCATCTATAGGTTTAATCTTTTTCGTATACGATTATATCGATCGAAATTCAAGAGATAGGGAAAGGTTTATATCTGACACATGTTTAATATGACAACACTGTCAACTGTTGGAATTTGCTCAGAGATTTTAATTTAATCATCCTTAGTTTCCACTTTTCCTTCGGACATGATGGTGTTAAGTGCCTCAATGGTCTTGCTTCTATTTCAAGTATCAACTGGTGATTACTTCTTGGGGGAAGAAGGACCATCTAATTTTTGTATGGTTGAACTGAAACATGGGTTTTTCTGAGTGTGATTCAGTCAATTCAAGTAGTATTTTTCGGCTTGGACTTGTCAGGAACCGATATATGCTTCAGTAGAACTCTGTTCTTGAATCACAACATGTTCAAGTGGGTGAGGCTTGAATGATCAATCATCACATGACTGATTGATCTTATCAAAAGTCCTCCCTCTTCTTGTATTTTGTCAAGCATTCTTGTTGTCTACTTCATACTATGCAATTAGGAATCTTTCAGTTTCCTCTTCAGCTTTTTCTTTACTAGTTTTATATTCAGCTTATTAAAACATGCAGGAGTAGATAATAATGTTATGTTCATACTTTTATTGTTTTCTATATTTATCATTCTGTACACTCTCCTAAGCTACCATGGAATTCAATTCACTGCCAATTTATCTGACAGAAAATAATGCAGGGCAAGCAAGGGTGACAAATAACCAGCTCAAGTTTTGTCAAGGTTTCCCACATGATGATATTGTTCCATATGTAAACTTCACGAGCGATGTCAGAGAAAATCCTCCTAGTTCTTTTTTGCGATTGATGCGACCCATAAACACCTTGAAAAACATTGTCGATGATGGTTCTTTTGAATCAGGTATGAGCTTCTCACTCAAGTTTTATGTTTTTCTTTGTGAGAATTATCTTGACTTATGATTGGGAGTTATTTCTAAGTTGTATTGTTTTATGACTACAATTAGTATCTTAATGTTTCAGTTGTCCAAAACTGCCGATAGAATTTGTAATTTTTATTTTTCATCAGAACTTATGCTGAAATATAGACAGTCACACAGATTAGTTGGTTAAAATATATTTGTCTGCGACTGTATAGGTGTTGCACATTCCATGATCCACTGATGTCCTGGAAACTAACATTGGCATAGTCAACCTACTTGAGACTACAAAAATCACTATAAATTTTGGCTGACATGCCTGCACTAGAACTTTAGTTACCACTAAACATGATACTCATTATATTAACATCATGTTTTCGAGGCAGCTCTTGCTTAACTTCTGAAACTTCTTTTTTCAGTACTTCAAGCAAGTTCTAGATCTTTACAAGAAATGCTCTCAAACATTGTCTTTCCGGTGCCAAATAATGGCTCGTGCATGAATTTTGTCACAAGTGATATGTTGAATATGATGGATGAGAATAAAGAGGTAGCCATACGGAAATTCCTGTGTATTAAAAGAACTGGAATGAATTGCCTGCTTCTAAGAAAAAGAATGTTGTGGCAGGAGTGGATGAGCAACAGCAGCAGCAGAGCGATTCCGACATTGGAGAACTGTCATCTAGGAATGCTTCAAATATCAAATCATCAGATGTTTAACCTCGCATCAGAAGTAAGGAATTGTGTACTTTGACTTGCTTCTCTTTTGTAGTTCAAGCGGCCTTGAGTTTTTTATTAGTTGATCTCCTTCTTAGCACATAAATTTGACTAAGTTTTCTTATCTATGTTGATGTTCCTTGACTATTAATTGATTGATCCTTTGTAGCACATAAATCTGGATGATTTGTAAGCTTATTTTCCATGTTAATGTTCGTCTTTAGCACTATCACTTGCCATTTATTAATCATGAGAGACTCCTATATGGATCCTACTCATGTAAACTGATTTTGCATGTTGTTCTGTGCATTGGCCACTTGCAATTTGTAGAACCATTGACATTTCTGACATATGTTGTCATGAAGGATAACACTTCTAGTGCTTAGCCAATACATTTTATAGTATGCAAGATTGATGTGAAGTTTCTTAAAATAGTAGGAATTCAGTTGTAAAGAACTGCAAATGATCTTATGCAAAGAGTTGACAAATAGTGATGTTTCAAACATTGGGAGAATTGTACTACCAAAGGTATGATATTAATTTACTTCTTTTCTCGTCATTTCTCTTTGAAAACAGTTTGAGAAGGTTTTTAATAGTTGATAAATTAGTCATTAACAAACTTGTTTAGTTTAGTATTTTCCTCAAATTTTACAGTTTGTTATAATATCATTTTTGTGAGATAATTTTACATGTAGAGGGAGGCTGAGGCTTATCTTCCTCCATTATCTGAAAGAGAAGGGATCCTGCTTGACATGGATGACATGACACTTGCAGTTACATGGAAGTTCAAGTTCAGGTATTTCTTGATGTAAATTATGTTCATTGAGCTTGATGCCGATGATCATGCAACAAGGTAGAAAAGAAAGGATTGCTTAAACAGAATCGAAGTTGTCCTTTTGATGCTTTTAATCAACACTACTTTTTACTGGTAGCAAATCATAAATAAGTTGCTGTAATCTTCACAAATACTGTATTATATATATATATGTGTGTGTATATATGTATGTATATGTGCATATGTGTGTGTGTTTATAATGATTAATACGTAACTCTTTGCCTTTGTTTTTACTATTCATAGGTTTTGGCCAAACAACAAGAGTAGAATGTATATATTGGAGAATACAGGTATGGAAGAACAACTTCATAGTTTCTAGACCACAACTCATTCTTATTTTTTCCATGATCAGCTGGTTTTGTCAGAGCACATTGCCTTCAAGCAGGGGACTTTTTATTCATCTACAGGAATCCAACATCCGGGAATCATGTAAGATATATGTCTTCTGCCTTCTTTGAACATAGAAAAGAAACTTAAAACATTCAAAAAATGTGAAGAGGGTGTTTCTTTTTCAGAATATCATTTCATGAAGCTTGATATTGTTGAAGCTTCTTATTTATTTTTAAGCTTCTTCCTTCATCTTATTTCAATTATTATTCTCTCTTAAGATTGTCAGAGGAAACAAGGGAATGCCACAGCGGAGTCCTTTGGATTCACTACAGTATAGCAGTAGAAACCAGTTCATCGTCAATGAAGACTGCTGCAGCTCAACATTACATGTCAAGAAAGCTAGAAGTGATAGGAGGCACTCTCCTATCAACCCAAACAAAATAATTGGACATGGCAGCAGTTCTCTCACCATGACTGAGCTAAATGATCTTGAAGGGGACATTACTTGTCATCCTCACTATTTTCCTGAATAGATGTTTGTTTTACGGCATTTACATCTTGAAAACTTAAGATATTGTTACTTAATTTTCTTAGGTTACTTATGATTTTTGGGATAGCCAGCACTAAAATGTTTACTGTTAGAATTATTTAAGATATGCTTCTTTAATGTTCTTCAGAAGAGAAAAAAAAAATCATTCTGGTATTCTGTTCTTCCAAGATCATGGCCTTTAAAGATTAGTATTCTATTTTTTAAATTAGTATGTTTGTTTCTTCTTAATTGTTGATTGAACTTTGTGAATCTAGTTCTTGGGTGACCTAGGATTCGAGTACAGGATGTAAATGTTATTATGAGGAAATGCCTCAAGCCAATATTGGAGTACCAATTGCTACAATGCCAAAGTAAACTTT